TTGATGACAGTTTAAAAAAATATTTTTTAAAAAGAAGTGACAAAAAAAAAAGGGGAATTTTCTCTTTTTTTTTTTATTAAAACATCAGTAGCACTACGATCAGCGGTTGCTGTAACATTGTTATCGTCAGTAAATACCCATCAACCACCCGTATCACCATAACAAGCAACCCTCTGCTCCCCCACTGATTGCGCGGGGTAAATGAAGATGAAAGAAGTTTTGGTCGAGGTTATTTTATAACGATGATGATGATGATGATGACGGTGATGGTGGTAACGACCACTACGATTACCACGGATGACTACGATGACGATGGGCGAAGATGATGACAAACAACACCGATGATGCAGCGAGAATTTTTGCATCGATTTTTGGAGCGAAAATAGGGTTAAACTGACACCTTAAATTGGAATCAAAAAAAAAAAAGGGAAAATTACGGACACGAAAACGAAGAAGATAGAGGAGAAGAGGAAGGAGAAGGAGTAGAAGAAGAAGGAGAAGGGGAAGGAGGAGAGGAAGGTGTGAATTGAAAGTTGGGAGGGGAAAGAAGTGCGCAGGAATTCAAAACAATAGAAATAAACTTTGATGTATAAGGAGGGCGAATCAATCATTATACTAATGATTATAAACCGTAATTCATTAGAATACAAAAGAGGTAGAAAAAAGAAGACATAACATTTCTTCGTCGTTAATTTGAATAAAGTTTGAAAAAAAATTAACGAAAAAAAAAACAAAAATAGGGGAGGTTACTTGCAGAAAATTGAAGAAACAGCATAATCAAAATTTTTATCATTTTTTTCTTCTCTCTCTTTCTTTCTTGACCAAAGAGAAAGTAAGAGCAAATTTTTTTTTACAAATAAATAAAGCTAAATCTTCTACAGTATATTTGTTTGTCTGCCTGTTTTTTGTTTATTTACTATGAGATTTCCTTTTAAAAAAACAAACCTTAAAACTTTGCATAACGACAGAAAAAAGACAAATTGGCAAAATCGAAAGATTAAAAAACGAAAAAAAATTGTCATTATTTGGATTCTGATTTTTGTTTGTTCTTTGTCTTTTTTCAACTGTTATATTTTGTACACAACGAACACAGAGACTGCAAAATCGGTGAATTATTAGAAGCGTGAAAAAGGTGACAACAGAAATGAACACAAAAAAACGTTTCCGAAAGATAACTGTTAAGAATAAGATGCCGAACAGAAGTGCATCTGATAGTGTTCTCAGCAATGATCTTTCAATAAGGACGATCTCATCAGAAGTGTTTCATCAGTGTGCATAACGGTGAAATTGATACATATTTGCGATTGTTCTGAACTTAAAAAATTTGTCCGACAATTTTCCTCGGTATAATAACAGAAAAAAAAAAGAGACGATTTTGTTAGATTTGTAAGACAGTTGAGGATGGAACAACAGCAACGAGGAACCAAGAAGATGGGAAGAGGGAATTAAGTAAAAGTGAAAAGGAACAAAGATGAAGAAAAAGCGTGAAAGGAACAACGATTGTTCAGAAATTACCAGTAATTTGAACAGTGAAAATAAGTTAATATGAATCAGCAGTAATTGAGCTCTGTCTTTTGTGTTGATATAATTTGGAAACTGTTACAAAAATTTCTTTTTTAGTCGTTTTTCCTTTCTTTTTTTACTATTCTTGTTCTTTTTTTTTCTTTCTATGAAACAAAAACAAAGGCTTCTGTTTTGTTGACAAAGAACATACACTTCTGAACAGGTTAAATAACAGCTTAAAAAAATTGTATTTTTTTCTTATTCTTTTATTTAGTTAACAACAGTCAAAGTTTTGGCACTTTTATCATTCTATCTTTCTTTGGTTCTTGCTTTTCCAACTAATAAATCTTGTTAGATAGCAAAGAGGTGTGCATTTTTTTTTGATACATCGTTGTTGCATATAATACCGTACGTTGAAGAGGCGAATGGTCTGATACTGTGTACAGTTTGCTGAAACAGTGCTAAGTGGGATATTAATATTTGCTAGATAAATATAAGCCTATATTCATAGTGATTATTTTGTATTGCTCATTTTCAGGATGCTATGCCAACGGTAACCGATATAATAGCGGTGAATCAGTGAAGACAAACTGTAACAATTGGTAAATCATTACCGAAAAAAACCTTAAATACCCTTTAAAATAATAGTGCCTTTTTTTGGCTCTTTCTTATTCTTCATCTTCTTTAAAAAAAATTTTTTTTTCGTTTGCTTCATTCAATTTTTATTCATTCAAAAACGGATATTTATTCAAAAACGGATAACAAAAAAAAAAAAACCAATAAAGAAGCAAATAAATTTTTGT